TGTGCAGTGTTTGTGTGTTTGAAAACTACACGCAGAAAAAAATATTATCGAAATAAAAATATTTGAGGTAAATATAAACGTAAACTCAGTTTGTTCTGGCCACAAAAATAAATTAGATTTTTTTCAAACGTATTTTATGTTTAAAGTCATGTGACATCAATGTTCAAAATAAAAGTCATGCTACGTTTATTTTTAAAATATTCGTGTTGAAAATAAACGTGAATATTTTTGCTTTGACAGGTTTGGAATCTAAAATAAATATTTTTATTTTAAACATGATTTTGAAGTTTATTTTAAACATATTTAATGTTTAGCACGATTTTCTATTTAATATTATAAATTATTTTCGAATGTGCGATGAAATAAGTAAAAGTGCGCGATTAGGTTAAATCACCAATCGTGCGCTTTTATTTGCATTATCACCGTCACATGATCCGGATGCAATCACATCCGTCTGCAAGGATCAATGTTCTGTGGTCACCAGCTCCAGTGTCGCTCCGTCCAGTTCTTGATCTCATGGGCCACTAACAGATCCTGCGAAATGACCAGCGAAAGAACTACCGTTTTCTGCTTGGTCTTCTGCGCCTTTATCGCCGCCAATGATTCCATTCTTATTCGCCGCGTACAGAAACCGATCATTGTCAGTCAAACACAAACACTTTAGTGACAGGTGCTTTCAAATACAATTCAGTGCCAACATTTCAAAGGGACGTAATTGCATTTGTAAACAATGACTTTAGTCGTCAATTTCTAGCAAATGAAAGCTCACTCATGAAAATGAATGACACCAGCATGCAGACCCGCATAAACGCGAACCATCACATGACCTTACCGATAATGGTTATAAATTGTTTATAATCCCTGCTAAACTTCAACTGAAATGGTTATGGAACTTTACATGAACGTTTGTGTGATAAAGTTTTAACCTTATGTATTATGGTTTTTTGGAAGTGGACCTTACAAATAATGGGTTGTTAAGAACCATTACCATTCCAAATTCTTGTTTTCTCCATACATTATCGGAAAGAGAACTATATTAGAACGTTTTTACTTATGGTTTGAGAACATTAATGGTTATGGTTATGGTAGTCAGTAAGGTCCATTAATGGTTTTGTATTATCGCTCAACTTTACGTGAAATATATCGTGAATTGGTAATCAGTAATTTACAGGCAACCAATTCGCGATATATTCCACATAAAGTTGATCGATGTTACAAAACCATTCATGGACGTTACTGGTTACCAAAACCATTACCATTAATGTTCTCAAACCATAAGTTAAAAGGTTTTAGTATAGTTTTCTTTCCGAAAATGTATGGAGAAAACAAGAATTTTGAATGGTAATGGTTCTTAACAACCCATTATTTGTAAGGTCCACTTCCAAAAAACTATAATACTTAAGGTTAAAACTTTATCATTAAACGTTCATGTAAAGTTCCATAACCATTTCAGTTGAAGTTTAGCAGGGATTATAAACAATTTATAACCATTTTAGGTAAGGTCAATTTATGGTTCGCGCTCATGCGGGGAGGTATGTTTCATGTATCAGCTAGCATTTGTAATTTGAAGAGGTGGGTTTGCATTTGCGAGAATTCGACGTCTAAAGCCATTGTTTACAAAAGCAATTACGCCCCTTTGAAATGTTGGCACTGAATTGATATTTCGATATTGTTGAAATAAACATGCTTTGGAACGAGCGACTGTCTTGCGTTGCTTTCAACTGAAATTCAACTGGCCTATGCGCAAAAACAGCAAATGGGTTCAGTTTTCTTGGACATTAAGAGGGCTTTTGATTCTGTTTGTATCGATGTCCTTTCGGATAAACTCCACGATAGTGGGCTTTCACCAATTATGAACAACTATTTGAGCAACTTGTTGTCTGAGAAATATATGAGCTTTTCTCATGGAAACTCGACAACTTCACGAATTAGTTACATGGGTCTCCCCCAGGGCTCATGTTTAAGCCCCCTTCTTTATAATTTTTACGTTAAAGACATTGATGGTTGTCTTGATGAAAATTGCTCGCTAAGGCAGCTTGCAGATGACGGCGTTGTGTCCGTTATAGGGCCAAGTGCACCGGACCTGCAAGGACCATTGCAAGATACCTTAGACAATTTGTCTACTTGGGCTATGAAGCTGGGTATCGAATTCTCTCCGGAGAAAACTGAGTTGGTTGTTTTTTCTAGGAAGCATCATCCTGCACAGTTACAGCTTCAACTAAAGGGTAGAACAATCACTCAAAGTATATCTTTCAAGTATTTAGGTGTCTGGTTCGATTCCAAATGCACGTGGGGAAAACATATTGCGTATCTAAAACAAAAATGCCAACAAAGAATCAATTTTCTTCGTACAATTACCGGAACTTGGTGGGGAGCACACCCGGAAGATCTAATCAGGTTGTATCGAACAACCATCTTGTCGGTTCTAGAGTACGGTAGCTTCTGCTTTCAATCCGCGGCGAAAACACATATCTTGAAGCTGCAACGAGTTCAATACCGTTGCCTCCGAATCGCGCTTGGCTGTATGCACTCGACGCATACGATGAGCCTCGAAGTACTCGCGGGTGTTCTCCCACTGACAGATCGTTTCGCTGAGCTGTCTTTCCGGTTCCTCATCCGTTGTGAAGTATTGAATCCTTTGGTAATAGAACACTTTGAGAAGCTGCTCGACCAAAATCCTCAAACAAGATTCATGAGTTTGTACTATGAGTACATGACGCTGGAGGTTGGTCCTTCTTCATTAATCTCCAATCGTGATTGCTTCCAAGCCTTCTATAGTTCCTCTGTAAATTTTGATCTGACCATGATGCAAGAAATCCATGGAATACCAGATCACCATCGGTCGATGGTTGTTCCCTCAATTTTTGCAATCAAGTACCACCATGTAAGTAACGATAAAAGATTTTTCACAGATGGGTCAACCATAAATGCTTCCACTGGATTTGGTGTATTTAATCAATTTCATAGCGCCTCCTATAAACTGCAGAAACCATGCTCCGTATACGTTGCGGAACTCGCAGCTATATTTTACGCAGTAGAGCGAATTGCCTCACTACCTTCTGACCATTATTTCATTTTTACGGATAGTCTTAGCTCATTGGAGGCTATTCGTTCAATGAGGCCGATGAAGCACTCCTCGTATTTCCTGCCTGAAATACGATCTAAACTGAGTGCTTTATCTAACTGCTCCTATACTATCACCTTAGCTTGGGTCCCATCTCATTTCTCAATTCCGGGTAATGAGAAAGCGGACTCATTGGCTAAGGTGGGCGCTATGGAAGGCGATATTTTTGAGCGACAAATCGCCTTCAACGAATTTTTCTCCATTGCTCGCCAGCAAGTCCTCATCAGTTGGCAACAAAAATGGAATGATGGTGAATTGGGAAGATGGTTACATTCTATTCTCCCACAGGTGTCGAACAAACCATGGTTCAAAGGGTTGGACATGAGCCGCGACTTTATACGCGTTATATCAAGGCTTATGTCCAATCACTGCTCGTTAGACTCGCACTTCTATCGAATTGGGCTCTCAGGCAGCAATTTATGTGCGTGTGGCAGTGGTTATCACGATATCGAGCATGTTGTTTGGTCGTGTACCTTACACCGTGTTGCCAGATCTGAGTTATCCACATCCCTCAGGGCCCGAGGAAAACAACCCGCGATACCCGTTAGAGATGTCTTGGCGAGCCGAGACCTTGACTATTTGAATTTAATTTATGTGTTTTTAAAACGGATAGATTTGAGGATTTAGAAGTTAGTGTCATCTTGTGTTCTCCCAAGTTGTTAGCTACCCATCGGTGTACCCCCATGTTTGTCTTTTTCATCAGAGTGTCGCCTAGTTCGAGATCAAGAGCACATTGCTCTACAAACCTTGTGTTCACAATCCCTACCCTGCCATCCATTTGTTACAATTTGTTACCCCTAACCTCGAGATAGCCGCGAGTAATCGGCCCCCGCTTTACTAACGTTAGTTTTAAGTAATTTTGTTATCTAAACAATGAATATCGGCTCCGCAAAGCTACAGCAAATGAGCCTGGAAAAATAAACGAATTAAAAAAAAAAAAAAAAAAAAAAAAAAAAAAATAAAAAAAAAATAAACATGCTTTTGAATTTAATTCGAACATCAATATTTTTATTTTAAACATACTTTCAATTTACTTTGAATAATTCATATGTTTAGAGTATAAACATTCATATTTTTGATTTAAATGAACAAAATTCGTATCCGTGTAGGAGCCAAAATCTTTTTTAGAAAAAGTCTTGAAGAGTCATCGAAGCAACAGTGTCAAGGGCGGAAGGGAAAGGCGAGGTAGCAGGCCGGTGACAAGGCATATACTAACAGTAGAAATACTCAGAGGGAGAGATGGGCGGAGAGAATGTTTTGAGCCAAATGAACTGACAAAATCTGAGCCAATCGAACATTCCAATTAGATTTTTTCCAAGGATTTCTTATTCTTACTAGAATAAATTGGACAGTATTGCAATCGAACAGAAATTCAATCACCTTTATGTATAGTGTGCTTCTCAAATTCAACTAGTTTTTGGAACCAAAAACAATATTCTAACTCTATTGATTAATTGATCTTCGTTGGTTAATAAATGGCACCAAGAAATGTGCAAAATATTGCAATGCAATCAATTATTATTTTGCACGTAAATCGAATCAACAATAAAAGTAATTTGAAATACTAGCTTCTAGCAAGGGTTGCAAGATAATTTAGGAACAAATGGCACCAAGAAATGTGCAAAATATTGCAATGCAATCAATTATTATTTTGCACGTAAATCGAATCCACAATAAAAGTAATTTGAAATACTAGCTTCTAGCAAGGGTTGCAAGATAATTTAGGAACAAATCCCTGCTGCCGAATTGTATTTTGTTTTCTCCGCCTATCTCTCCCTCTGAGTATTTCTAGTCAAAAGTAGGTAAAAGTGAACTGGCTGTTGGGTACTTTTTTATTACCGTGTACATACCGCGATGTAAACAAAGCATTGGTTCGTACCTGGGAGGGAGAAGCAGATAGCCGATAGCACACACGTTCGTACTCCGCGAAATGACCAGCGGTGAATTTGTAACTTCTGAATCAAAATCTTCTGGATTCCTCACTGGTAAGTGAAAGAAATGTTGTCTGATAAAAATCTCATCAATTCGTAAAATTCCAGCAAAACAATCTCTGGTCGAGTATCATCAGCGTTGGCGTAAAATCAAATTCAACTTGGACTCGTTGGACCAGCTCACCGGTGGCGGGATAAGCTCACGTGGAGTAGTAGAAATAGCCGGTGATGCCGGCTCAGGGAAAACCCAGCTTTGCCTTCATCTAGCCTTGGTTTGCCAGATACAACCGCCAATCGACCAAGGAAATGTTCGGAAAGGGGTCGTGTACATTAGCACCGAGAATCCCTTTCCGTCCAAACGGTTGGTACAGATGGAACAGGCTATGAAACGGAATTTAGGATCACAAATGGATTTGAAAAAATACACGGATAACATTTTCGTGGAACATTTGAACAGTGGTGTACGTTGTTGTTATGCTAAAGTATGATACAAAAAAAATACAAAAGGCTTTTCTACTTTTAGGGTGCCCTCGAAGATTGCATCACTCAAAGGCTTCCAGTTCTACTGGAAAACAATCCAATTGGTTTGCTCATAATCGATTCCATCACGGCAGCTTACGCCGATGAGCAGAACTACGTAGAGCGTGCACAATCGTTCCGACGAGTTGTGCATACGGTGCAGTCCCTTCAGAATCGATTCGATTTTGGCTTCGTTTGTACCAACCAGGTCCGATCGGTTGTCGATAGCTCCACTCTGGAAGATGAAAAAATCGTCCCCGCCCTGGGATTGGCGTGGGGTAGTTTAGTGCATACACGCTTTCAACTCAGTAGGATACCAGGCACTGCCGGCGAACGGAGGTGTCAACTGTTGTTCAGTCCGACTGCTGCCCCAGGACGGTGCCATTTTGTCATCACCGAGGCAGGGATTTCGGATTTGACGTGATTCGTTTGCGGTAGTACAGTTGTTAGGTTCACAGTTTTTTTTTAATTGTACATTTAAAATATAGAATTTTACACGTATTCCACCGTATTTGTTTGATTCACTATTCTATACTGATTGATTGTTTTTTCCCTAATAAATATGCTATTTTTGTTCAATTATTTGCCTATTCTAACGTTTCCTGTCCAACATGTTCTGTCATATTGATTTGCTTATTACTTCTAGTATTTTCTTTTGCCTTAAATTTTCCATTCCAGTAATCACAAAAATATCACAAATAGAAGCTAAAAGTATTAAACGCCCATTTTCTGTTCTATTCTAAAACAAGTTCGAAAGAAATGTGTACGGTTATTGTGATGTCGTTTTGATTTTGTTCTGTTAGGATGATAATGGGTTGTCCAGGTCTATGTCAGGTGTTAGGTATAATACATATATAAAGTTGTCCCATTGTAATAGCGTCCTAGTCGCTCGGCTTATGTGTGCTTGAGGAACCATGTGTCCGTTAGGTTAGGGGGTAATTGGAGTCAGATAACATGTTACATACGCGGTGAAGGTTGATCATTTATTTCTGCTTGATCAAAACAGGAATTCTCCGAAGAAAAATCCTGCACTTCTATGACGTTTGCTGCACTTCGACGTTTCTCGTTAATTTTCTGAAATGTTCCCTGAAGTTACACGAAGTTTCCTGAACGTGTATGGAATTCCTTGAACTATTAAGCAATTAAGCTTCAATGCAGGTCCTCGAACTCTTATGAGATTCCTAAACAGAAACAATCCTTCCTTAACTGCTACAAAGTTCCCCGAATTTAAACAAAGTTCTCACTTTTACCAAGTTTCCTAAATTTTTCCAAAGTTTCCCGAATTTCAACGAAGTTTCCAGTATTTCAATGAAGTTTCCTGAATTTAAAAAATGTTCCCTGAACTTCTAGAAAACTCCTGAAGTTTTATGAAGTCCCCTGCACTTAAGGAAAAATCCCTGAACATCAACAAAGCTCCCCTAATTTGTTCAAAGTTCACTAGATTTCTCTAAAGTTCACCAAATTTCGACAAAGGTGGATGAAGTTTTACAATTTTCGCTGGAATTCTACAACATTATCTGCACTTCTACAAAGTTCACTGAAGTTCTATGAATTTCGCTGAAGTTCCACAAAGTTCACTGAGCTTCTAAATAGTAAGCTTCTACAACATTTGCTACACTTCTAGAAATTTTCCTGGATTTCTTCGACGTTTTCAGAAGGTTTAAGAAGTTCCTTGAAATTCTAAAACGTTACCTGAACTTTTATGAAGTTCGTCGTGATGGTGGGATATATCAGGCAATTTAGAGATAAAACAAGGAGGTATTAGTATTAGTTATATTGAAACAAACAAAACGCAAGAAGAGCAAAAGGAAAGAACAGCAGAAAAATAAAAAGGGAATAAAGTTAAAATGGAAAACAAAGAAAAAGCAACGTAGGCAGATTATTAGAAAAGCATAAAAACAATGGAAAGAAGCATAGATAAATTAGTAGGAAAATAAAACTAATTTATAACTAAAAGTGCAATGAATGAGCGTTAGTTTCGGGATTACGTTGGAGTTATGTTAGCTTTGATCCGTAATCAACCCTGCGGCCCCTCTAACACTAGTTGCAGGCAGTGGTTGTTAGATCATGCAACACTGTAACTACTACTATGTTAGAGGTATGATTCTACGTTTATACAACTCAATGTTTCAATTGAGTTAAACTAAAGAGCCTGAATTTTTTTCTCAGCCTCTTTAAGTTAAACTATTTATCTTACAATTACAAAAGCAAACATCTGCAGTCTTTATCGGAGATAAACCAGCCTGCGGCTGAAAATCTCCTAGATAAAGAGACAGACAGACAATTCTTCAGTCTTCCAACTTTAGCAGTGACACTCTTAAGAGCAACCGTAACGGTCGTTGTCATTTGCGCGACTATTTTAACAGCGCACAGCGCTCTCATTTTGGTTTAGTCACTCTTCTCCACACCGGTCGCTGCTATCGTGGTTATCAATTTACTCACCTTTGTCCGTACCGGTAGTGAGCATTTTGACATTTCTACGAATAGCAACCTTTCTCCCGCGCTGCTCACCGAGAAGCCGACTGCTATTTTAGTTACTCGTATGGCAACCCCCGATACGGTAGCTGCGCTATGATGAGGGCTGCTAAAATGAGTTTAGCAGCGTACCGTTACGGTTGCTTTAAGGCCGGTGCACAATAGATACGTTTTCAGTTTTTTTTGACAGTTAGCCCATGCATTATCTGTCAAAAAACCCGAAAACGTATCTATTGTGCGCTGGCCTTTACTTTTCTGCAAAATGGATCAAGTTTGCGTTGTTTATGATACGTGTTTTTGGCTAGTGAATATTCATGGAGATGGAGACTCACTAGCGTGCACAGGAATCAGGGGCAATTTTTTTTTGTATGGTGCATTTAATCTGGGGATGGGGAGTACTCCAAAGTACGTGGGAGATGGTGCTGTCCACCGGCCACTATTTTCCTACTGTTTAATTTAGCTAATTTTATTTATTTTTTGCTCCGGTGGTGGTTTATCTTCTTCAATGCAAACTGCGGAAATTGGCAATTTAATCGCATCGACGATCATGAACCGACCCTAAGTACCGTCAGTCGGGGTGACAGAAAATGATGCCGAACATTCAACATGTTTTAAAGATGATATAAAAGACAAACCCGAATTTATTGCAACGCACATAACAGCTGTAACATTTTAACAACGGTAACAAATGACTTGAAATTTCAGAGAAGATTCTTAGACGAGTAAGGATTCACTAGAAATTACACGCAGAGTTTGGAACACTCCCCAAAAATCCTTTGGAACAGTCCTCAGAATTCAGTACCCTTGAGGTTCTTCTCGGATTTTTTTAGAACTCTCCTAAGAGCTCTTTTGAAATTCTTCTCAGAAGTCCACTGGAATTAAATTTAGAACTCTTCATGATTTTTTTTTCAGAACACATTGGAATTGAATGAGCTAGAAATTATCCTCGGAATTCGCTTGAAATTTTGCTTAAAATCCCTTAGAAATTACACTCAAAATTGGATTTTCTCGGTATTCTTTTCGAAATTGTCTTGGAACTATCTGCAAAATGCACTAAAAATTATCTACATAATTTTCTTTGAATTCTCCCCAGAAATATTTTGGAACAGTCATAAGAATTCAATATCCTAGAGATTCTTCTCGGAATATTTTAGAACTTTTTTTTCTCAGAACACCTTGGAACTGAAATTCCCCTATAGTTTCAGAAGAATTTTCTCTGCATTCTCCAGAAAGTCTCTCCAGAATGAGCTTGAAATTATCCTCGGAACTCCATTGAAATTTTTCTCACATTCCGTTGGAATTTCATTCAAAATTTGATTCTCTCGGTATTCTTTTCGAAAATCTTGGAACTATCTGCAGGATTCACCAGAAATTGCTTGCAGAATTTTCATGGAATCATCCCAGAAATCTTTTCTTTAAGAACTGTCCTCAGCATCCAATACCCTTGAGGTTCTTCTCAGAAATCAAATTTAAGTTGTCCGCCCATTCACCAAATCGTTATAGTTTTTCTACCATAAATGTTCAATAAAGCTTGCCCCTTCATTCACCAGAACTGTGCAATTGTTATATCAGGCTTCTCCATGCAGCACATTGTTGCAAATCTTACACCAGAAATTTTCAATGCAAACTTACCACCAGAAAATTTCAATTGATCAGAACGAGTCAAATTTACCACCGTTAAGTTCAATAAAAATTGCTTCTCCAATCTTCTGATTCGTGCAGATTTCCTTTTTCCATTTTTTCCACCAGACATTTTCAATAAAGCTTGCTTTTTCTATCATCAGAATGTTGCAGGTTTTCCACCAAATAAAGCTTGCCCCTATTTTTAGATTTTTCATCATAAATTTTCAGTAAAGCAGCTTCCCTGCAAAGATCAGAATGGTGCAAATTTTACACCAGAAATTCAGCCGTATTCTTGTTTTCGTTCGAACCGTATTTTCCATACAAAACAAAGTTTTTTTTTGTATGGAAAATCGAGGGGGGCGACACATCTAAATCTCAAGTTTAGATGCTCAACAAATCTCACACAGGCGAATCAATCTCCGAAAAATCTTTTTTCATTTTTCACATCTACTTGCATCGGTCATCATCTTTTTGCAGGAAATCTCCAGAATCGTCATCAATCTTCTTTTTTCTATTCAGCGTGCGCGCAGCTAGCCACAGCAAAACACAATCTTTTTTGCATCGTAGATAGAGTCGTCCCCCTCGTGGAAAATACGGTTCGAACGAAAACAAGAATATGGGTGATTATTATTAAAGTTTGTTTCTCTATTCAGCACAAGGATGCAAATTTAAGAACAAAATTTTTCCGAAAATCTTGCCCATCCGTTCACCGGAACGTTGCAGATTTTCCACCAGAATTTTTCAATATAGCTTAATTTTAAATAAAGCTCTTGCCTGCATTTACCAAACCAGTGAAAGTTTTTCACCAGAATTTTTCCGTTCATTTCATTTATCAGAGCGATGCAATTTTTGCACCAGAAATATTCAATAAATCATGCTCCTCCATTCACCAGAACGGTGCACCAAAAATTGTCAGTGGTTTGTTTCACCATGCACCTTTGTGATGCAATTTTAAGGCTTTGCCTCTTCATGCACCAGAATGCTGCAAATTTTCTACCATAAATTTTCAATGAAGCTTGCATTCATCAGAACGATGCAAATTATGCACTAGAAAAATGAATAAGCCTTGCTTCTACATTCACCACAGTGTTGCGAACTTTCCACCAGACATTTTCAGTTAAATGTGCACCTAAAAATGTTTAGCGTGATTCAATTTTTCCAATTTTCTTTTTGATTAATCCCTCCATGCCAAAAATGCCCTCCAAAAATACCTTGATGATATTTTTACACCAGAAATATTCAATATAAAGCTTTTTTGATTTACCACCACGATGGTGAATTTTTTCAACCCTAAATTTACCCTCTCCTTTAAACCCTCCATTAGGGTGTTTCATTTTGAAAAAAGTGATGAATTTTTGATAGGCCACCCTCCAGTTCGATTCATAGCCCTAAAATATGAACCTGTGCAAAAAATGGTAAAGATTGATGAAGGTTTAGAGGTCGCGCCAATGATTTGGATTTTGTATGGAGATTTTTGTGAA